GGAAACATGATCTTACGATTTAGGCGGGAAACGTGATTTTACGATTTGGGCGGGAAAACGTGATTTTACAGTTTTGGCGGGAAAACGTAATTTTTGGTTTTTGTGGGAAAACGTGTTTTTTTTTATTTTGACGGAAAACGTGATTTTTTTTTATTTTGACGGGAAAATGTAAATTAAATTAAATTAAGTACAAATATGTAAATAAATAAAAATAAATAATTTAAAGATATTACAAAATTTAATTAAATCCAAAATTTTAAATTATATACAAATTAATAAAATTAAAAAATAAACAATACACAAATGGTTTTGGTCATTTGGGTGTCCATGGTTTGTCCATTTGGACATGGGCTTTAGTGGTCTTGGCCACTTTTTGGACCACTGTCCAATATGGACCACCCATTACTGCCCAAAAACTGAAATGGTCTAAATGGTTAAGCCCAAATGGGCTCTGGGCGGCCCATTTGACAGCTCTACTCACAAATAGACAAAATATGTTCAAATTTAGGAGAATCTTCTTTATGTTGTGCAACTTCAATGTTTGCATATTTGAAGTAATCAAAAACCAATAATGCATGGAGTCATTCAAAGCATTGATATTGGTGCTCAGTGGTATGGCCACTACTTAGAAGTCAAATCAAAAGAACAACTTTGGTCACAAACCAATTATTTTAAGTTAGTATTTTACACGATGAGTCTAGTTTTATATGTAAGTGGTTGTTATTTTAAAGAATTATAGCTCCAATCACTAACTCAATGGTGTGAATGAGCTGGTGCATAAAGATTTCGTTGAATTCAAACTTTATGGTGTGTCCATGAGATCTAACTGAAATGGTTGTATATATATAAGATAGCTAAACTAAGTACATTACGAAATTGTGAGACCAGAGTTGATCCTTCTCTTCCTCATATATATGATTCTCTCTTTTTCAATAAACAAAAAGTCTCAATCGTGCTCGTTAAGTCGCTTTTGCCAGAATATGTAAATGCAACATTTGTCGGGATACAAGAGAATGAATGGTCCATATATTCATGCATGTGTAACAGCCTAACATCATAACAAACAAAAAAAAAATAGACGCAAAACAAAAGACAATTAAAGAGAGAAAGTGATCGATAGAACAAAGTGTATGAGAATAGAGCGACATTGATGATTTCATTTCTCGGCCAGATCTTGTCTTGGAACTTTCTTCCCCAATCTCTCTTATCCCAACCCTTAGCCCCTTAGTTTCTCGACCAGTCATCTCCATTAGTTTCCACGCTTGTCTCTTTTTGCCTTACTCTATTAATTAATTTTGGATCCATCACCAACGTCTTATATAATACCAACAATACATACTATTGAATCATTATTTTATTAGCTTACGAATCTTGTGAAATTCACGGGAGAATGAAACCAACTTTGAATTGTACACTCCGGATAAAACTAACTCAAAAATGCTGAGACCATTTTTACTAACTGAGCTTATGCAACATTAGCAGAGAACGCAGTGTCATAGGTAAAATGCTAATCGTTGTACTTGTTATAGCCCACTAAACCATGTGTTGTTCCATGTAAGAAAAGATGGCCGAGCCTTAATAATGTCATAAATAACAACCAAAGTAGAGTAGCCAACTTGCATTATGAGATCTTCATCGACATTGATCGTTTTAAATTTCAGAAAGCTACATAATAAGAATTATAGTTGACAAAGAAACAGAGAGGATGTGTATTAAACTTTGATAAGGATTATATAATTGGTCCCCATCCTCCTGAGTCCTAACCCATGATGCTGCCAGTAAATTCTTTCAAGGGCAACCAACCATCCACGTGTACCCTCAAACCCTACAACCTGTAAATTCATTACAATACATGTATCTTAAATATTTGAATAGTAGCCCCCTTAAAGTTTTTTTCTTTCTTATTAAAACACACAACCTTACCAACCGTGTTGCAGAAAACAAATCTAGCTACACAAAACTTGTGACTTTAGAATCTTTCCTTTTTTTACTTGTAATGGACTCTATGATGTTATCCATGTGAATCACACATGCACTCATGAGTTACTTACAAGGCTCTGCACTAGGATAGCTCTTCAATAACTCATACAAAACAATTTTTTTTTTTGGCACAACAGAAAATATTCAATACCCATATGTTAGCTTCAGAAACAAAATTCTCTATAAGCTAAATACATATATGTTAGAAACATGAAATTTTTAATCTGTTAATTTAATTTTCAAATAAAGAAATTATCGAATAAGGGTTATGTTTTTAGAGTCTCAATACAGACAAGATCCCCATTTTAGTTACCGATAATAATAAAGCTTTAAACTATTTTTAAATAAAAATGATTAAAATTTTACAAAATCTTACATTGAAAACAAAGAATATTAAGGTTCAGATCGGTCACCGGTCATCTATCTCTGCCCCATCTCTCTAAAAAAGAAAGAGAAGGGAATGTTTCGTTAGCAATCATCACCACCAGCTTCGTCTTCTTCTTCTCTGAAACAACTCACAGCTACTTCTTCTTTACTTACTATTATTATCACACTTTACAGCCTTAACTTGAGAGAAAGGAAAGGACTTTACTTTGGAGAGAGATAATGGGAGGTGTGACGTCATCAATGGCTGCGAAATTAGCCTTCTTTCCACCGAATCCTCCGTCTTACAAGATCACCAGAGACGAAGCAACGGAGCTTCTTCTCATGAACCCTTTTCCCCATCGAGAAAACGTCGACGTTTTGCGGCTTCCCACGAGAAGAGGGACTGAGATCGTTGCTATGTACATCAGGTACCCTATGGCTGCTACGACGCTTCTGTATTCGCATGGGAATGCTGCTGATATTGGGCAGATGTATGAGCTTTTTGTCGAGCTTAGTATTCACCTCCGCGTTAATTTGATGGGGTTAGTTCTCTTTCTTCCTTCCCCCTTTAAAGTTCAGATCTTTCTGAGAAAAGTTTTTCTTTTTTTTGAATTGCTCTGTTTTTATGGATTTGTGGAAGTAGATTTGAAGCTTCCAGATAATAGTTGTGTGCTCTCTCAATGTGTAGAAGCTGATAATCTACTGAAAGTTTAGGAATTTTACTGGAGAAGTCTTAGTTGTTTATGGAAGATTTTGTCTTTATGGTTTGTTCTTAATCGAGATCTATAATAGTCTATATCATGGAGACAAAAAAATAGATTTGAGGTAGGGTTTGAGTTTGATGTTTTGGTTGTGTTGTTAACATCAAGTGGTCTTGTGCCAACAATATTATTCCTAAACATTCCAGATCTGTTACTTGTATCTGTTCCTGAAGGCAAGTTTATAGATGAAACACTTTATTTTTGTCTCATACAAGATCTGTTACTTGTATCTGATCAGTGTCTCGCTAGTGTGTTCTGTCTTGTCTTAAAATGACTTGGAGTATAGTAGGATTCACTTCCATAAAAGTTACATTTTCCACTTATATGAGAAACTCTTCTAAATATGTTGTGGTGTTTACAGGTATGACTATTCAGGTTATGGCCAATCATCAGGGAAGGTGAGTAACCCACAAATTCCTAAGGCTCTCTTTAGTTATGTTGGTTCATCTACAGTGCTAATATAAGTCTCGGTTTTGTTGCAGCCTAGTGAGCAAAATACTTATGCTGATATTGAGGCTGCTTACAAATGTCTGGAAGAGAACTATGGAGCAAAGCAGGAGAACATAATCCTGTATGGTCAATCTGTCGGTAGTGGTCCAACAGTGGACCTAGCTGCACGTTTGCCTCGGCTAAGAGCTTCCATTCTCCATAGTCCAATTCTTTCTGGTCTTAGAGTCATGTATTCCGTTAAGCGAACTTATTGGTTTGACATATACAAGGTAAACATCATACCCTTTTGGTTTATAAACATAATGTTTCCTACTTTGACAGCATTTTGTTTGATCTTCTTCAGAACATTGACAAGATTTCTCTGGTGAGGTGTCCTGTCCTCGTGATCCATGTAAGTGATTGCCTTGCAAGATCCATTAATCTTCAGTGTAAGTTTTATAGTGAAAGCTTCTGGATATGCAGGGAACAGCGGATGATGTGGTTGACTTCTCACATGGGAAGCAGCTCTGGGAACTCTGCCAAGAAAAATATGAACCGTTATGGCTCAAAGGAGGAAACCATTGCGATCTCGAACTCTTTCCCGAATACATTGGCCATCTCAAGAAGTTTGTATGCGCTGTGGAGAAATCCGCATCGAAAAGGAACAGTTCTTTCTCAAGAAGAAGCATGGAAGGATGTGAACAGCCTCCAAGACATAGTGTAGATGCACCAAAGAAGAGCAAGGACGGAAGAGAAAAGCCGAGGAAAAGCGTAGACAGGCTGAAGTTTCAAGGATACAAGCTGAGCCACATAGAGAGACCTGAGAAGCTGAAGATTCCGTTTGAGGAAATGGAGAGGTCGAGGAGAAGTGTGGACATTTACAGAGATAAGTCTCAGACTATGGAGAGAGCACGTAAGAGTGTGGATTGGTTGGACAGAAACCGAATTAACGAGTGAAAAAAATGGGTGTTTGATGTTGAAAAGATTTGTATTTGAGTTTTCGTTTTAATTTATTGGGATGTGTTTTGTATTGTAGTTTTTGTTTCTACGTCAGACTAAGGAATCAACAGATAATAATAGATTTTAACCAATTCTCCAACTTCTTTGACTGTTCCTACTAAACACTTTTGACTGGTTTTTAATGTTGTTGATGTCTTCTTCTTGTTGGTACTCTTATCTTTTCCATATCTACTGTATAAGTAAGTCAACGAAGACGAATGCTTGAAGATGGGCTTATCTTGGCCCATATGCTTTAAGGTTATGTAGATGGGCTTCTCGTGGCCCATTTAATCCATTTGTTTTAGGCTTCCCCAAATCTACAAAACATAAAATCATCCGAACTCTTAAACAAAACAAGTGTACTCGGTCGTGTCGAGACACAGCTTTTGGTTTGAGAACCGAACCGGAGTCGGGTTCTAAAAGACTGCTTCGAACTTTCGATGAAGCCAAAACTAATCATCGGTCCAATAATCCGAAACTGAATATCTCATCTCTTTGCTTCAAAGATTTATCCTTTTAGACTTTTACTACTCGAAGTTGGAGATTTCCTTGGATAATCAAAGTTTCATCCGGTCGCTGAGAAAGCTCATAACCTCTTAGCTCATGGAGTCTCTATCCCTTCCCATTCTAAATCCTCTGCTAGCTTCTGGTTCTAATGTTTACAGAAAACAGAGCTCGAGGATGATCTCTTCAATGGCACCTTCACTTAATTTCGCCGTAGGAAGCACATCTCTGTCCACTGTTCGTCGCTCTGTAAGTTGTCGTTTTTACGTTTCAGCATTTGATTTGGGTGATGGGAATGCGAAAGTGAACACTTGAATCTCTTTTATGTTTTTGCTCATTGTTTGTTTGCTTGTTTGAATGGTTAGAGAGTAAGTGTTGTTAAGATGCAAGCGGTTGATGAAGATATTGATCTCAAGCAAATGAGAGACATGGCTGCTGCTAAAAAGCGTTGGGATGGTTTGGTATGATTCTGGCCTTATTTTCTTCTGCTTTATTTCAACTTGGAACATTCGAGCATATATAATATGAATTCATTTGTTTTGTGAAGTTAAGGGAAGGAAAGGTGAAGCTTCTGACGCCAAGAGAAGCAGGCTATGCTATTCAGCTTTCAAACAAACCTCTACTCGATGTCCGTCCCTCTAGCGAGCGCAACAAGGTATATTCTCGTGTTCGAGTTGTTACTATGCTGTTTGGAATGATTGTCTCTACTGTCAACATTGAATCGTCATGTTATTGGCTAGAAATGATTAATATCTCCTAACCTTAGCATGGAATGTTTTTAAGTTTAGTTTGAGGTCTGTGGACATTTGTCAGTATTCCTCATTTCGATGCCTTTTATTGAGCAATGCTAAGCTAGATGTCAGAACACTCCTGGACCATAGTGTTTCATTGATGTATTCTTCTCTCGTTTTTTCTCAAAAGGCATGGGTTAAAGGCTCAGACTGGGTTCCTATCTTCGACAATGAAAACAACCTTGACGCAGGAACTCTTTCCAAAAAGGTCACCAGTTTTGCTATGGGTACTTCTTCTTGCCCCTATGATTATGATCTGTTGGCACTAGTTATTTTGGATAAACTAAGTATTGCCCTCTTTTCAATATCTGGGCATTGTATATCATCTTCTAATCCCATCTAGAATATAGACTAAAACTTCAATATACTCACTTTATTACATTGCTCTAGGTTCTAGACACTGACTTCACCATGTTTCCACTTGTACAGGTGGATGGTGGAGTGGTGCACCTACGTTATCTTTCAATAAGTATGTATCGGAGAGTAAGCTTACCTTCTTGTATGCCTTTTCACATACTTATTTCTTTCTTAGTTGTCTACTTCCTTTGCAGGCTCTTCTTGCCAAAAGTTGAGGAGAAATTCCCAAAAGAAACAGAGCTGATCGTTGCTTGCCAAAAAGGATTGAGGTATTGACTTGAATGCCTAATGGATTCGTTGCTTCTAACCAAGTGGAATAGTAGTAACTAATGATGAGATTCGTACATTACAAGGATAGTTTCTATAGTTTTATAGTATCAACATTCTTGCTGACAAGTAAAATCCCATACAGCAATCAAATTTCAGTGGAGAGTGTTTCAAAATTTTTTGTCAAATGAAAATTAGTCTTACTCAAAGTTAGTATGCTGATATATTACAACTGTGAAGTACATGGTTCATCTTATTGTTGATGATCCTCAAATTTAACACTTCATTCAACAATTGTTTCTTTTATCAGATCCTTAGCTGCTTGTGAGCTACTATACAATGCTGGGTATCAGAATATTTTCTGGGTGCAAGGCGGTTTAGAGTCAGCTGGAGAAGAGGTTATATTACAATTGTTTTCACCTTTCTGTTTTGTACTTTGGTCTTCTTAAGTTTCGTTTCATAAATCACTGATTATGTAAAACATCCTGACATAGGATCTAGTCACAGAAGGTTCTCAGCCATTGAAGCTTGCTGGGATTGGGGGTTTTTCAGAGTTCCTCGGGTAATTAACTCTTCTGCTACTCAACACTTTCTCATTGCTTGAAAGTCTTAAAGACAATGCTGAGAAAAATGGAGAAAACTAGTCATGGATTACGTGTGTGTCTTGTACATTATTATATGATCATTTATGGTTATAGATCGTTTTGGTTGCAGTTGGACAGACCAGCAAAGAGCTCAAGCTGCCAAAGAAGGTTGGGGGTACCGTTTAGTATTTACTGCTCGTCTGGTGAGTTTCTTTGAATCCAAATCTCTCTTGTTACTCATTGTCAATTAGTATTCCTCTCTTGAGAGTGGTGGTCTCATGTCATGTTTTGTAGTTTGGAGTTATTCTGGCTGCAGATGCCTTGTTCCTTGGTGCTCAGCAACTTGGTCATTATATTCAGGAGTTAAGAGGCCACTAGGATTTCTCTGTAACCAAATCTCCAAGTGGTTATACTGCTCTTAAACAAATGAAAAAAAAAACTGTAAATTTATGTTGAAGATTGTAGTTTTTGAGGTAGAGTAGTTGAACTTGAGATGGTGAAAAAAGAACATGTTTAAATTATGGAAAATCCTCAATTTCTGTTGACCAAATTTTTTAAAAATTTATGAATGTGAAGAGAGTTTCGGAATATTCGGTTCAGGAAGAATAAAAAAAAATCTTCATCCATCTAAAGTGGGTGTCGTTTTAAGACAAACCTCAAACACTTCTTGTTGCTTTTTTAATTTAGCATATTCCTCAATTATTGCGCCAGCCCAACTCTAGTTAATTCCAGCGCGCAAGTTTCTAACTAACCCTGGTTACATTACGTTCTTACACGTGGACGGTCGAGATTCTTCCCGAGTCCTTCTCTTTCCCCTCTGGTTTAAAAACTAGGGTTAGGCTACGATTCTCTATTACCCAGAAAGCTTATCTCCAACGCCGTTTGTCTCTCTGAACAAAAAAAAAATCATCCGCGTATTAGATCCGTTCGAATCTGTGATTATGGAGATGGAGCGAGTTCACGAGTTTCCTCATACACACATGGATCGCCGTCCTCGCAAGAGAGCTCGTCTCGGCTGGGACGTGTTGCCTCCTGCGCCTAAGGTATAGATCTATTCATCTCCTTATCCATGAATCGTAAAATCAACGTTTTATATGATTCCTTCCGATTTTCGATTTTTTCTTCAAATTTTGTAATCGATCTATATACATATATGTTTATTCTTCCGGATCTGCGATTCGTTGATATATATTTATCAATTAAGCTCTTGAAAATACCAATTCGTATGTAATTACGTGTTGTTCGATGGTTTCAATCAGATCTATCATTACAGATTTGGCCATGATTGATTCCAGACAATATATATAATCAATTACCTTGAGATTCCTTGATTTGGATTTAGATGTTTGTGTTGAGATGTTAAGATTAGAATATAGAACAACGTGTTAGGCGGAGAAGGATAGTTGGGAGGTATTCATGTGTATGTTATGGTACATGAATATGTGTAGGCTCAGGTAGGAATGTTTTGTGGGCAAGAGATTGGGAATATGTCAAGCTTTGGAGCTCCTTCAGAGATTAGTAGCTCTTCTCTTTCTGTTAAGACTCTGGCTCGTAACGATTCTCCTCCCTGGCGTGAAGATGATAAGGATGGGCATTACATGTTTGAACTCGGAGATGACTTAACCCCACGCTGTAATCCTACTTTTCCATTACCAAAAAACTGTTTTGATGATACTCAAGATGCCTTATAGATTTCTTTTTTAGTGGCTTTGAATAACTTGTGTTGTCTTGCTGTTTAAACAGTATCCAGTGTATCCGGTGCTTTGAAGAAATAATTAATTTGTAATATTGCTTTCTAATTCATTATTCTGATTTTTCTGTGTGTTTTCTTCTTTTGCAGATAAAATATATAGCAAGATGGGCGAAGGTATGAATATATGTTTGTTAATACTACTTACGGTTTTGACAGGGTCCAGTGTAGTACTCGTATCTTATTTAAATATTTTCTAAATCTTCCTTGTAGGTACCTTTGGTCAAGTGTTAGAATGTTGGGATAGGGAGAGGAAGGAAATGGTGGCGGTGAAAATTGTTCGTGGAGTGAAGAAATACCGTGAGGCAGCTATGATTGAAATTGAAATGCTTCAACAGCTTGGTAAACATGACAAAGGTGGCAATCGGTGAGTATTTTGTGTTGACTTTTTTTTATCTTGCATCCATGCATTACAAATCTGATTGGGTGAGACATAGTTTTCCCAAGAATTTTTTGTTTTGCAAAGGTTAAATCATTTTATTCTTTGCAGTTGTGTACAAATTCGGAACTGGTTTGACTATCGTAACCATATATGTATCGTAAGTGTTTTAGTCAATTTTGAGATGCCTATGATTTTCCCCAGCTTGGGAAATGTTTGGGGTTAAAATTTTTGTGGATGGATTTAAATGGATGCAACAGGTATTTGAGAAGCTTGGATCAAGTTTATACGATTTTCTTCGCAAAAACAATTATCGCTCCTTTCCCATTGATCTTGTCCGTGAGATTGGCTGGCAACTCTTGGAATGTGTAGCATGTGTGTAGTCTTTGCAGTCTTTTTAATCTACTTGCTCTTGCATTTTCATCTTTGTTTTGCTTGTCGTTGAGATGGTTACATCAAAGTTTTTTGAGATTACACACTTTCCGTTTTCTAATTACATTTCTTTTCCGTTTTGGGTTTGTCTAATTTTGCAGTTATGCATGACTTGCGCATGATTCATACGGATCTGAAACCAGAAAATATTCTGTTAGTCTCCTCAGACTATGTGAAAATTCCTGAGTACAAGGTATATATCGAATGAATATGTATGTATGTCCTTAGTGTGGCCAACTAGTAAATGTGCTAAAGGAATTTGGTTGTGTTCTCTGCTGCAGGGTTCTCGATTACAGAGGGATGTTTCCTATAAACGAGTGCCTAAATCAAGTGCAATAAAGGTTATTGATTTTGGTAGCACAACTTATGAGCGACAGGAACAGAGCTACATTGTATCAACTAGGCATTACCGGGCACCAGAAGTCATTTTAGGTTGGTAGCTTTTGTTGTAGAACAAGTCGGTTAAATTCTAGCTTGTGATAATTGCAAACTGATGGAGTCACTTGGTTGGTAGGCCTGGGCTGGAGTTATCCGTGTGATGTTTGGAGCATTGGATGTATTATAGTGGAACTGTGCACGGTATGTGTCTGAAGTACTTTCTTTACTTTCGATAAATCTTTGGGTATGTATATTTTTTCCTTCGTGATTGAAAGATTTTGGATGAATTTTTGTAGGGAGAAGCCTTGTTCCAAACACATGAAAACCTGGAGCATCTAGCGATGATGGAGCGTGTTCTTGGGCCGTTGCCTCAGCAAATGCTGAAGAAAGTGGAGTGAGTCAAACATCAAACAACTGCTCTGAAGTGATCATATCCGCGGCCATATAATATGGTCGGGTGTTTAACTGTAGTTTTGTCTTTTTGGTATGTTATAAAGCCGACACGCGGAGAAATATGTGAGAAGAGGTCGTTTGGATTGGCCCGATGGGGCAGCCTCAAGAGACAGCCTGAAAGCAGTATTGAAGCTTCCCAGGCTTCAGGTTCGTCGAGTGTTCATTTAGTGAAATGCTACTAACGTCTGAGCTATCCGTGTTATTGACAATGTTTATGTTTGTGGTTGTTGGCAGAATCTGATAATGCAACATGTGGACCATTCGGCGGGAGAGTTGATAAACATGGTGCAAGGGCTGCTTAGGTTTGATCCGGCGGAAAGATTAACCGCTCGTGAAGCACTGAGGCATCCTTTTTTCGCAAGGAGAAGATGACGACGTGTCCTTGAATTTGACGAGGAGTGTTGTATATAGTGAGATGTATGTTTGTAGTAGTAACAACTAGTTGAACCTTTTACCATATTGTGTTACGTGACAACCGTCTACGAATTCTGATATTTATTAATGAAAACAGATGCTTTGAATCACTCTTTTTTGAAGTGAAAAGCGATTATTTGTCTATCATCTTGTTTCATAAAGTATCTGTCCGTTTATCTTCCGAGTTCGAAGTTATCAAACTGTAATGTTGACAAGAAAGAGCCAGAAAGTGAATGGATGATTGTCGTTGCAATTATTTTAAGAAATAGCCACTGTAATGTGGCCAAGAAAGAGCCAGCCGAATGGCAAGATAATTAAAGGAAGGGTACCCCTAAATGAACAATAAACTATACTCAAAACCTAATTTTTGTTTAATTTATTAAAACTCTGGCAGGCCCCATTTGATGCGTTACGCAATGAAATTACTTTAATCAACGGGACGAGACATGCTGTAGTTTTTTTCATCAGCAAAGAGAAAACTACACGATTTGCAAGTAAGAAACAGAATACCTTGCGCATATCCTCTCCGGTTCCGAGTCACCTCTGCTGGTAGCTCTGACCGATCCCAACAGAAGACAAATCTCGCAAAGCTATTCAGTTGTAAGTCCTTTTTTCTATCATAATGTTGTTTGTTAATTTTTGCATACAAAGACTTCCGTCTTCTTTCACGATCTTGCGCGAGATCGAGCATTGACTCCATCCACGGTTTTGTCTTACATCACAATGGATGTATTAATGATTCTTGATGTTCCCGATAATAACTTCGATTTTGCATTGTTCCTCAGCTTTTGTTTTGTGATTACATTCTACCAACTGTTGAAAAAATGTTAAAAAAATAGCAGAAACTCCTGGTCACAAATCTAAGTTTTCACAAATCTTTTGAATCCTCATTTGTCACACTTGTTATGTGCTTCATAATAACTGTTTTCTAACAAAATTTCGTAACTTTTTTTCTTTAATGTTCAGAGGAGTTCATGATGGGTTCTGTAACCACACAACCACTCTTCTCATTTGGCGTCATCGCTGATGTTCAATACGCAGACATCCCAGACGGACGCTCCTTCTTAGGCACTCCTCGATACTACAGAAACAGCATCCTCGTCTTACAAAAAGCTGTCCAAGCTTGGAACCAACATGGCCACCTCAAATTCGTCATCAACATGGGTGACATCGTAGACGGCTTCTGCCCCAAGGACCAATCATTATCAGCCACTAAAAAACTCGTCAACGAATTCCAAAAATTCCAAGGCCCTGTCTACCACATGATAGGCAACCACTGTCTCTACAACCTCCCACGCCAAGAGCTTCTTCCTTTACTCAACATCACTTCTCGTGATGATGATAACAACGCTTACTACGATTTTTCACCTACGCCTGAGTATAGAGTCGTGGTGTTAGATGGGTATGATATTAGTGCTGTTGGTTGGCCAGAGGATCATCCCAAGACACTCGCTGCGTTGAAGATACTTGAAGAGAAGAATCCGAACTTGGAAAAAAACAGTCCCGAGGGGCTTGTGGATGTTGAGAGGAGGTTTGTTAAGTATAACGGTGGTGTTGGGGAGAAGCAGCTGGAGTGGCTAGACGGTGTGCTTAGGGATGCGACGGAGTTGAAACAGAGAGTTATTGTTTGTGGACATGTGCCTATGAGTCCTGGTGTGGCGTCTAAGGCTGCTTTGTTGTGGAATTTTGATGAAGTGATGAGTGTTATACATAAGTATGATGTTGTTAAGGTTTGTTTTTCGGGGCATGATCATAAAGGTGGGTATTTTGTTGATGCTCGTGGGGTTCATCATCGGTGTCTTGAAGCTGCTTTGGAGTGTCCACCGGGTACGTTTTCGTTTGGGTATGTTGATGTGTATGAGGATAAGTTGTCTCTTGTTGGTACTGATCGGATGCAGAGTACTGATTTTGAGATCTAGAGAGAGAGAGAGAGAGAGAGTTCATGAATGATCAAATTGTCTTGAATGCAGATATTGTAAACAACATTGCATTTCTTATTTGATGATTACATTCTTTTCTTGTGGTTGTAATATCATACGCCTGCTTGTACCTTTGTGTTTGTTGGTTTGGGAATAAGGCGAAAATAAAATGTACATTAGTTCAATTGATTGGAATAAAGTAATCGTATCATATAATCTGTGTCTGCAATATGCGTTATGCGCTAAAAAGAAATCTCTAGCTAAAGATACATTAATGCAGTGTCTAGTTGAATACATGTGGTACTGGTTCTGAGGTGATAAACACACATTTTTTTGTTTCAGTTATATGCTTCTTCGATACATCCATATGCTTCAGTATGTACTCCGTGGTTACACCAAAATTGTTACAAACGAATTAGACTTGAAGAGATTTAACCGCAAGACAATGGAGGCGATCTAGTATCACTTAGGAACACGTCTATGATTCCGCTACCTACGCAACGGAAGTGAGTTATAGCGTTCACATTAGCTATAGCCTATATGAATGATCATTGTCTCTCTTATGTCGTGTATGTTTTAATTATCTGCTTGGAGTCAAACTAAATCGTTCAGTATAATAACTTCCGGTGTATGAAAACTGAATTGGGTTTTTTATACAGTAAGATTTTGCACACATGAGGTGCTGATGCTGAATAGATTAGAGAGTTCAGATAAAATAAACTCATTACATCATATATGTTCAGATAAATTAATTTTTTTCTTCATTTTTAAAACTATACGATTTAAATTTATTCAGTGTTTGTGTATAAAAACATCTCCAACTCCACTCTATTTTTCACTATAAAATAGAGTTTTAGAGTAAAAATGCTCTAATGGTACTCTATATATCACTCTATAATAGAGTGAAAAATAGATTTACTCCAAATATAGAATAACTTATTTTTCTTTGTTCATCATTCTATTTTTTACTCTAAAATAGAGTACTATTAGAATAAACTCCAATTCTAGTATAGAGTAACTCTATTTTATAGTGAAAAAATAGTGTAAACCATTAGAGATGGTCTAAGTAGAGTAATACACTCATTCTGCTTGTACATAATGAAACATTAAAAAAAATAAAAGAATTGAATAACTAGAAATTAAAATAAATTAATTTTTAATAGTCAAATTGGCTTTGACCAGGTATAGGCCATGAACTAGAGACAAAAAAAAAAAAAAAAAGAATTGAGAATCCCGCCTATTCCCGGAGAAAGGAAAAAACAAAATCTGAAAATTGAAAAAGAAAAAAAGGGGAGAGCGAGTGACTAAACAACAACTTTTTATCGGCCTTCGTGTTTCCTCCTCAATTCGAGAGCAACGATGAGCACTCCCATGGAGATTGCCGAGCAAAACCCTATGCTCGAGGACGTTACTATTCCTCCTCCTCCTCCTCCTCCTCACGACTCTTCCATGGATGTCTCTCACCCAAATTGCATCGAACCAACGATTATCCCCGAGCAATTAACCGTCGCGGAGCCACTCGCCACAACAGATCCTCCTCCTCCTCCTCCTCCTCCTCCATCTCCTCCGGCTCCATCTCCTCCTGCTCCTCTCCACGAGAACAAGTTCCTCGTATCCGGTACACACGATTCTCCTTCATTGAGTTTAGCTGCTCGATTCGATTTCCGTGACTTTAATTATTTGTGTGTTGCTTCTAAATTATAGTGGAGGTCTGCTTAAAGCCATCAAGCACGGCTCGTCTCGAGGACGTACAGAGAGCTGTAGAACGGTTTGTGATAATATATATACACTGCTAGCTCGCCTTTTACTGCGTTTCCCTTTTGATAGTTTGTGTGTGTATGTATTGGTTTAGGATGCTGGAAACTAGGAGTATGAGCTATGTAGATGGACTTGTTCTCATACCTTCACACGACTTGTTCCTTGTTGAAAATGTACAACGTATATGCATTTGTGATACAGGTACTACTTAGTCATCGTAGATTCTAATCACTAATAGAGAAATGCTAGTGTTGTTGCTGATGTTTTTGCCTTCTGTATCTATAGAGGAATGGGTGAAGAATAATGATGTTCTCTTGTTCTGGCAAGTTAAGCCTGTTGTCCATGCCTTTCAGGTAAAACGCAAACCTGATTTACATTTAATTAGGCAGTGAGCTTTGTTTTCTTCTACATGACTTGTTTATGATTTGCATCAAGTTAACTGAGGAAGGACCATGTGAGGAACTGGGCCCAGATGGACAACCTTCTAGCTTTAATGAATGGATTTTACCTGCAAAGGAGTTTGATGGCTTATGGGAAAGGTGTGTCTCGGACTATGGTTTTGACTTGGTTGTAAAGCAGTAGTGGCTCTCAGTAACAGTTTGCTCATTGGTTTGGATCTTTTTGTTTTGTATTGTGTAGCTTGATATATGAATCTGGACTTAAGCAACGGTTACTACGTTATGCGGCAAGTGCTTTGTTGTTCACGCAGAAAGGTGTTAATCCAAATCTCGTTTCATGGAACAGGTGAGTGGCATTGGTATGGTTTTTTTAGTACATGTTTTATCTGCGTTTATAAGAGTCTAGCTGGGTTGCTTAGCAAACTCAATTTCTTTTATGCTGTTCTGTTTGTTCTTTAGTGTCTAGAGACGATGTTTTATCTTTCTGTTGCCCCGTTTAACACTGTATTTATGATTCGTTGAAAATTTCTCCAGGATTGTTCTTTTGCACGGACCACCAGGGACTGGCAAAACATCTCTTTGCAAAGCATTGGCTCAAAAGCTTTCTATTCGGTGCAACTCCAGGTCCTCTTCTAGACTAAATGCTTCTCTGTCAGAAGTATCTATATTGACTGTATTATCTCGATTATCTTTATATTTTGACTTGGATTTCTGCTTCCTTTGTCAGATATCCACACTGCCAACTGATTGAAGTCAATGCTCACTCTCTATTTAGTAAATGGTTCTCTGAAAGTGGCAAGCTGGTATGATACATAATTGTTCTTCTTTTACTCTTATCTTAGTTTTCCCTTTAGCATGCATTTTAGACAGTAGGTTGGCTAAACAAAGTGACTTAGTACTCTTGGATTATTGGACTTCAACCACATTTGTGGCTTCCTTGTAGTTAGTTCAACTCAACTTAATTAAGTAACCACTTACAGCTTACAACTGCCGATTGCTCTTAAGGAAATTTGCATAATCTACTCTACTCATTGATCAATGACACTGGATTTTATTTCTCAATCTACTTTATCTACTGACGCCAGTGGATTTCTGTAATGTCATAGTAGACTTGGGAATTGTTTCAAGTCGAGTAGACAAACTTTATTGGAATTTTGTTATTCTCGCTATGCTTACTAATTCACAATATAGGTTGCCAAGCTTTTCCAAAAGATCCAAGAGATGGTGGAGGAAGATAACAATCTAGTATTTGTTTTGATCGGTGAGTTATGATTTTTTCATAGTTTTTTTTCTAATATAGTAAGCCTGTTTCTCCTGTTAGGTCTGAGATTGTTCTGCCTGCAGATGAAGTTGAAAGTCTTGCTGCTGCACGAAAAGCTGCATTGTCTGGTTCAGAACCTTCAGATTCCATCCGGGTAGTCCAGCTAGCCTTTGCACTTGATATACACCTAGAGTGTGCGAAGGAATCAATTCTCATTCCTCAAAGAACAAATCGTACTGTGTTTGTAACAGGTTGTGAATGCACTACTTACACAAATGGACAAACTGAAATCAGCACCGAATGTGATAATCCTTACAACATCGAATATAACTACTGCTATTGGTAAGATGGTGGTTCTATTTTGATCTGTCCTTAGCCTCATGTCTTTTTTTTTCCTACCATATATCCCTTATTCATCTGCATGATAATCAGCATGAGCTTGCAATAGAAGTATGACTTTGCCTGGCTACTAATCTTAATGTTTTACATTCTCATTTCTTGGTCTCTGAAACTGTGTTCCCCATTCAGGTTTTGTAAGATTTCACACATAAATATTCTTGTTGCAGATGTTGCTTTCGTGGATCGAGCTGACATAAAAGCTTATGTTGGCCCTCCAACTCTTCATGTTCGCTATGAAATATTAAGGTCCTGTGTTGAGGAATTGATAAGCAAAGGGATCATATCAAGTTTCCAGGTACTATACAAGATTCCCCATGCTTTTCTGTTAATTCCACTTAAGGAGGAGCAATTATATCTTACAAAATCCTTGGTTTAGGGCTGTGATGGACTCTCTATTCCAAGCTTTTCAAGTTTGAAAGAAAAGGTGAACGCAAATGAGCTTCATGATACAGATACAGTTCCTTGGTTCTGTAAACAACTGATAGAAGCTGCAAACTCGTGTGAGGTTAGTATACCTTTTGTACTGATTGTAGAGAAGTGATAATAAAGCTGAGAATGTTATGAATGTGGACCAACTTGCTGATGCAGGGTTTAAGTGGGAGATCACTGAGGAAGCTTCCGTTTTTAGCACACGCAGCACTTTCAGATCCTCACAGCCATGATCCAAGTAATTTCTTGTGTGCAATGATAGAGACAGCAAAGCGAGAGAAGTCTGAACAGCCTGAATGACCCATTTTTGTATGAGGTCATAAACAAATATACAATGGAGAATGTTATAATATTTAGTTATTGATTCTACATTTTTTTAAACATAAGATAATGTAGCATAGTGTTTGTCAAAAGTCATCTGAAAAATCTAAAGGCTAGGAAAAAATAATAAAGAAAATAAATAGAAAAGGATGAGACAGACAGAAGTTAGTAGATTCGAACAAGAAACATAAGGCTGACATTTAAAGCTGACATAATATTGGGTCCATAATAATAGCTTGGAGTCCCAAAAGTCCCCTCCCAAATGGAGAAGAAAACAGATGAGGAAGAAACGAGAGGCTAAAGATGAAAACGAAGAAGAAGCGAAAAAGAAGAGAGTGGAGCTGATGAAAGCAGCAGCACAGGCTTGGCTCAGCCACTCCCTAACCTCTAAAAGCACCGTTTTGGAGTTCGAGGCGCGAAGAAAGCATGCTTTTGTCAAAGGTAAGCAAGCCATCACGTTTCAAAGTGGAGGCCTTGTCCAGTACAAAGAAGCATCATCATCATCATCCTTCGTTTTTGGATTGGGAGTATGGACAGTCTTTGTGGGATCCGTACGAGATTCTTTCCGTTTCTAAGAAGTTGGAACGAGCACTCACGTTAGAAGAGCATACTTTCTCTGCGGATAAGGCCACCAAGAAGAAGAATAGGGACAGTAGAAATAGCCTTAGGAGTTTGTTTAATCGTTCTTCGAGGAGATTTTAAATGAACCCATGATGCTATAACTTCCTCAAACTTGTAAACGTAAAAAGAAAGAGAATTCAATACGAGTATCTTCAATTGTTCATTTGGTTGCCAACAGTTCTCTCTATTAAAGATATATACGCTTGCAGGTGAATGAATCACATCGTCCAGGAAGAATACAAATCGCATGTAAGATTCACAAGTCGTCAAGTGATGAAATCGATAAAAAAGACTTGGTTGCATACAAAATAAATCGAAATAAGAAAAAAGACAGCATAAAGTCTCAATACTTATTTAAGATAATAGTAAACATCATCCATCCAACACGAAAGAAAGAAGCAAAGGAACACACCAAGTACGAAACCACACTACATAACCATCAGGATTTTATTATTTATAAAACATAACCTTGTCCTGATAGATAAAGAGTTCTCATAGAGAATCAAAACGCCACACTAAGCCTCCTTCTCCTTCTCCCCAGTGAGGAGATCCATCACCACGCCTTTAATGCTTCCATTGTTCTTCTTCAGCAGCCTCTTGTTCGTCACATCATCACAGAAGCCCTGCAGAAAAATTATCACACTGTCAACATCCCTCTCAACCTGGTTTTCGAATCTTCATTTATAACTTACCATTTCCTGAAGCTCCTCTAGGATTGGATCCCACTCGCTAACTCCACAGAGAGCGTCAACAGACTGCTCCAAGTTGTACTCGTTGTCCCTCAGGATCTCCTTGTTCAGATCAATCTCTTTGAAACCCATCTCCTCGAGCTCCTTGAGCATGGTTATCTCGACGTCATTCTTCTCAATATCCTCTTGAAGAGGAACTGGGGTGGCCTTTGTAGATGAAGAACCCCCACCCATGGCATTAACAGCAGGCATCTTTGGGAAGTCGATCATGTTGAATGATGACGAAGATGACGATGGGGTAAGAGTGTTGGGAACAGCAGGCTCAACTTCACCAACCACCAGGTCATCTTTTATCAGAATGTTTGATCCCGAAGAAGTTTCTGGTTCAGGATCAGCACCTTTCACTGTCCCAGGGTTAACATTAGGGCTGGCAAGCTGAGCTGGAACATGATTCACATTGATCCCTGAAAATTCTCTTGCAAAATTTTCATCAGGGTATGCATTCAAGTTGAGTCCATGAAACTCGTTCACTACAGAGCTCTTCAAGGATGCATCAACCTGACCACGCAACCAGCACAAACATAGGTGTCAGATGTTAAGAAAAAAAATGATCAGGAAAATGGCAGCAAAGATCTAGTAAGTACATGTATCAACACCCAAACACGTTGCCCAAACTTAGCACCATTAGAGGAAGCCATCCTCCAATAAGAAATGTATCGACCAGGTGAATCTGGTGCAACAAATTCAACTTTCACGTCAAGCTCACTGTTGATAGGCACACCCTCTGCTGGAATCTGCAATGATGTTGACACCAATAACCAGTTAGTGTTTATATATATGAAGAAACTATTGCCACTTTGTGTAGAGAAGAAGCTAACTCAAGCCACTAAGAGTAACTTCAAACAACATAATTGACGTGAGAGTGGAACTTCAAGTTAAGAACGAAGTAAAAGAAATGGCACAACCAAGGATATACTTTCTAACCTGTAAATCAACAGACAATGAGCTGCTGAATCTGTCCCCACCGATCCAAACGATCTGCGTACCCTGCGGCCACACCAGCGAACCATTGTTCCTCATTTTCCAGATCTTGGTGAATGGAGCAGATGGAGCAACGACTGATCCATCAAGTACATTGACATCGAGGACAAAGCGACTGTCTAGCTTAGGCCGAGTACACCTGAAATGTAAACCTCCATGTTGTGGTCGCGGCACATGTCCCAACCAAGGAGGATTTGAGAACTACATGAAAGAAAGAAAGAAAGGTAAGATTTCTACATAGATGTAAAAAGAGACGGTAAAGAAGAAAAGAAGGAAAATTAAACACAGAAAAAGAGTAATACTGGGGTAGGTAGTCGTCCTTTAAAGGGATGTAGAGGTTGAGCTGAGACGGGCTTATCCATTCTTGTGTAATCTCCTTCATTACCCATCACCGAAAAACAGATGGTGCAAAGATCATAGTCTTCTTTGCTGCAAAATATTCACCAGAGAAAAAAGTAAGCAAAATAAATTCTAAGATGTCTTTAGCTCCTACACATAAAAGTAGGAGATATCCTTACACTTTAGACTTGAATCTAGGCCCAGTTATCGGAAGAACGCCACATCCATCACAACGGATACCCTTATGAAAGACACCCAGTGAGGCCCAGTAGTCACTATGGTTGTACTTTTTAGAATGACATACACGACGGGCATGCTTGTTGAGGTTCGTTGGATTTGGACTGGAATCAATCACGGGACTGCCACTGAAGGGACACTCGTTGAAATTAGCACCCTGTCCACAGGAGGTTGAATCAACAACAGGTTCAATCGGATTAACAGGTTTTTTTCCTGTCTGGGTCTTAGACATATCCTTCTTTTCACCAGCGGAAGGAACCTCCCTGCTTAAAGAAGCACCTGAAGAACCAGGCTTAGTACTTTCCTGAGGACCTGAGAGCTTTCCTAGCTTGTTGATGCAATCAAACAGCTCACCAACAACAGGGCTAGAAGATGCAGCCTTAGACGTAAGGTCAATATACACCTTCGAAATGGTATCACGCATGGGGTTAGGAACAGCCATCATAACATCATTGAAACCCTTCTGGATCTTAGAAACCGGGTTAGGCAAACCCGGAGCTGGTGAACTTGCACTACTCTCTGGAGTAACAGAGTTAGTATCCACACCAGTGTTCGACTGCACATTAATCTTCAAGAACTTAAGACGCTGATTCGTGACGTCGAACAGGTCATTGTCATCAACAAGGGCCACCACATCCCCATCTTCATCAGAGTAAGTCAGAGAGAACTCAGTTCCCACGGGGAGGTTAAAGAGAGCAGCGATCTTTCCTCTAAGAGAGGACATGTCAAGATCAAGCTGTCCATTAGCTTTGAAAGGCACCCTGAAACGTCTAAGCACACCTCCATAACTCACCTGCAAATGGACACAAAGCTCACTTGGATTAATCAAACAAACTAAAAAAAACAAAGATAATACTAATTTCAGAACAAACTTATAATTTTGGATAAGATAATTTCAATTATTTGAATATTTCTTAGGGTTTGTGCTTCTAGAAGATAATTAAAGCTACGCAAGTCATGATAAAATCCGAATCTAGGCAATCAATTTTCCGATTGATAAATACAGAAATTCAGAACGAAAGAACCGATTATAAGCATGCGAGAATTGACACGATCGTCTAACAAAAAGACCTAGAATCACCGAGGATTGACACATATAAGAAAAAAAAGGAATCAAACCTTGACGACGAGTGCAGTAGTAGAATCCATGGTTCACGGATTAGGAAAGCGACGGTTGAGTATCGATCTAGAGAGGATGAGGAATCTGAGGAAGAGATGATCCTTTTTTAAGAGAGAAGCGTACCCGTAATCCGCTTATATTGTGAAACTGCCCAGAAATATAGACGGTCGCCTTTTTATTTATATCCGGATGATGGTTTTATTTACATACTCTTTATTTAATTTAATTAATGGTTTGACTTATCCAACAAGATATTGACTTTTCTGTTTATTGGCTTTTTCATCAAGACAACCCAAAAACCAACACCGCTAAGTAAAGAGCCCACACAAAAAATATCTACTAACATAAAAGTGGCATTAACAAAAATCACTGGATTTATATTTAATGATTTCATATTTTGATATAGACCTGTCCAACTACATTTTTTGTGATATTTAATAATTTCTCATTATTACACAATATATCTTGATAATTTTGTAAAATGTTGTTTTTGACGATCTATACTATTAAAGCATGATCCTATTGTTAAAATTTTGGATTCTACCCCTAGATTTTTATCATATTTATAAAATAATATCACTATTTATTTTTAGAATCTTAATTAATTAAACAATTTAATATCTCCTATATTTATGGTAACTGATAATATTTCCTAGGGCTGGGCAATCGGGGTCCCAATCGGGTTTCGGTTCGGGTTCATTCGGGTTTCGGGTTTTCGGGTTCATGAATTTCAGCCCCATTCGGATATTATAAAAATTCGGGTCGGATTCGGTTCGGGTTTTGTCGGGTTTTGTCGGGTTCGGTTCGGGTTTAGTAACATGTCCAAGATCCGGTTGAACCCGAAATAGTTTCGGTTTCGGATACTAATCGGGTTATCGGTTCTAAAAAACTAATTTATACTCAATTAAACTCACTATATTTTCAATCATTTTATTAAATTGTGTATTTAGCTTCTACAAACCATATTTTTCTCTTTCAAAATAATATTGTGAAACTCATTTATCAACCATATAATATTTGTCATTGAACTATATGTGACAATACTAAACATATCATGATTAATAACAAACCAAAGCCTTGTATGAATGAAATATAATACATAATGAAACATAAAAAATTAAAGTTAACAACTAACAATTCTATAAATGTAATAAGTACTATTTAAACTTTAAGAAACAACATTATATAAACTTCAAAACAAATTTATTCGTAACTTAATTTCAAATGTAATGTCAATCATAAACATTAATATTAACCAAATAACACTATATATTAGACTAAATATCTGAGTTAATTATTTATATCATAACTAATTATTGTAGGTACTCAATAATATATTAATCTGTTTTGGAAACATATTAGAAATTTAGATTGGATATGATACCAAGTTTTTTTGGAATTTTAAAGTTTTGGGTTCTTTCGGATATCCATTTAAGTTCGGGTTCGGTTCGGGTAATACCCATAACCTGAAATACCGTAAAACAAGATTCATTCGGTACTTTTGTCGGGTTCGGATCGGTTCGGATTCCTTTTTATCGGGTCGGGTTCGGTTCGGATTTTCGGATTCGGTTTTTTTCGCCCAGCCCTAATATTTCCTATTTCTATGATTAATAATAATTTTCCTTTTGAAAATTATGATTTTCTATTTAATTTTAATATCATATTTCCGTGCATCATATTATTTAGCGATCAAAAATTATAAATTAACTTTTACTGTTTCATTTTATCTATGATAATGATATGTCAATTCAATTTGTTTTAAGAACTTAATTTTAGATATAAAATGAGTAAAAATGTAAACTTATCATAGGTTATTAATAACGAAAAGAAACTAATATTGTTATATGAATAAATTGTGTTTTTTTTTCTATTGCCATTGTTTCATTTTTTCAAATGACAAGAAAGTTTTTATTAAAGAAATTACAAAAAATCAATTTTCTTTAATATTAAAAATATGAATTATTTAACAAATTTTTAAAAATATATTATCAGTTTTATGGGGTTATTTAACGGATCAACGGATATCATAATACAGATTAATAGCGGGTTTTAAGATATATACCGGGTTGGCTTAAATTTTTAATTAGTAAATTTTTAATTAAATCTTAACTGGATTATACAAAAATTGCCGGATGTACCGGTTTAACTATGGATCTGGGTCGGATATGGAAACATTACGTGAAAATCAAACATTACAATAGAACTTTTTTAAATATTAATAAAAAAATTTTAAAATTTTTGTGTTTGAATAATTAATTTAAATAAATTTTATCAAAATGGTAAAAATATACCCGCGCTTTTAAAGCGCGGGTCAAAATCTACTTATCATTTTATAGTTGCTAATCACAAAACAATTAATACAAATTAATGCCGGGTCTAGAAGAAGAGACCACAGAGGTTATTCAGCCATTTGTTTTGAACATGTGTTATCTTCTACGAATCAGTGTAACTATGTAAGAGGTGATGGCAGATTTTATAATACACATAGCTTTGCTTCAGTTAGAAGAAGAAGAAATAACCACACACATAGCTTTGCTTCAGTTAAAAGAAGAAGAAGAAGAAGAAATAACCACACAAGTGTGGTAGAAGAAAAACTGAATCAAAGTAGCATGTTAAATAGATGGTACTTCCCACACTCTGAGAACAAAGATAAAACTAGCAACAGAGCAACAGATCTGCCACCAAATGTAAACACAAAGTTGACGTGCATATTCAAATAAGTTACTGAAACACATTTTTTTAAAAAGAGTAAAGACTTTGTTATCTGCCAGATACGTCCTCAGATGCTACTCCTTCCGCAACCACCCTCCTGCCTAGTAAATAGCTTCCTCAATGGCCATATCTCTAAATGCAACGAGATTCACTCTTAACTACCTAATCACAAAGACGCCAAATCTTCAGTTTCTCTCATCTGATAATCCATGACCGGCGTTTCTCCCAGCACTACCACCCCTTTGATGTTGGTACGGCTTTTGTCCACCATGCCTTTGCTGGCCCTGTCCCTTCTCCCTGTATCTTGGACCTTCTGTCTGATAACTGTCTTTTAATTGTTCTCCGTCATAGGCATGTGACCCAACAGGCTTGTATTCGTAATGCAGATGTTGCTTCTGTCTATCTCTGTTTGAAAATGGCCTCTGATGGTGATGGTGCATATTCTCTTGCACTGATGAACCCCAACCTCCGTGTGACTCCTGGCCTCTTCCGAATCTGCGATTCTGGCCTGTGTTCGGATGATGCTCACCTTGGACCTCCTTACTGACAGATCGGTTTTGAGAATGGTCTGGTTTATCAACTGATGTCATTTTCTGTTCTGGAGTAATCCCCTGATGTTCGTATCCAGCAACATCCCTTTTCTGAGATGCAAAAGTTCTGTCCCTCGAATATTCACGACCACCAGACTGGCCTGCCCTATTAACATTAGGAGCAACAGCTGTGTGCGCCACATGATCCCCAGGGCCTTGTTGACCTAACCCTTGACCAGACTGCTGCATATGAGCTTTACTGGTGGAATCTCTCGTATTTGCTTTTTTAGAGTCGCCATAGTTACTTCTGGAAGTATGCTGCTTACCGTGAATGCTCATTCCCTGATCTTTTCCAACAGCGATGGTCCGAGGAGCACCTGCTTCCATTTCTCCAGGAGCAGAGTAATGCGTTTCAGGAGTCTTATACCCGCCATCGTTCCATCCATCAGCATTGCATGCGGTTCGATCCTTAGAAGAGCCTACAGCAATTTGCTCTCTACCATGCTGGTGCCAAGATCCATAATCTCTACCATGCTTCCCCTGCCTACCATTCCCATGTCTTGATTTTAAAGGAGACCCAGATTTCCCCTCAGTCGAACCAGGAGGTTGGAGAATTCCTGTACCTTCACCTCCACAGTTTTCTTTCCGCAAAACATTCTCTGCCATTTCTGGGGCAGCGGTCATTGGATTTTTACTGACCATTTGCTCAGCTGTTTCCTTTACTATTGGCTTTGCTACATATCTCTCCAGCTCCACTCTTTTGCTTCTAGAACTAGTCTGCCCTTGAGGCAGACTCTTCGAAGAGGTGCTAAACTCAGGAACAGTACTCTGACTCCCAACACCTGTGGAGATATCAGGTTTCTGCTGTGGATGCACCGGAGCCCAAATAACAGTACTGTTACCTGCAGACTTATTTACCAGCGAGTTTCTTGGGGTCTTGCGCAAATGTTGAGATTTCGAGTTGGTTTTTGCTCTGCTTTGGGCTTCTTCATTCGTGGAGGAACTGATTTGGTCAGAAGAATTACCAGGCACTTTAATATCCAAGCTTGGGACTGGCAAAGACCCGAACATTATTTCTCCCGCGCTGACCCTACCAATCTCAATTGACTCATCTCCCGATTTGGTTTCTTTCCCAACCGCAGCTATTGTCGTGCTCATTAATTTTGCCTCCTCAACTTTGTGCTTTTTCTTACCGTTCCTGTTATTTTTTCTTTTAGTGAAAGCTGGCTCAGTTGAAACGCTTGACGTTACTGGCATGTCTGAATTATGACTTGTTACACATTGGTTTGACACCTCAGGAGATGGAACAACATCGAACACCTCTGTAGTAGCTTCAGAGAAAGAGTTCCCTGCCACTCTTTTCTCAAATACGATATTTTGCTTCTGCTTATAACCCAACCGCTTGTGTTTTGAGGCAGCTCCATCACGGTGATGTGGAAGATTCTCCTGCTGATTAGGGTCCACATATTCTGTTGCAGTCATCGCGTTTTGCATTGAGGGTTTTCCTGATTCTTCAGGAGATTCTGTAGACTTTGCAGCCATACGTGCAGGTGAAAGAGACATAGGAACTTTTGGCATGTCCGGAATGGAATCATTAGATGTAGCTTCCAAGTTCTTGGCTGAACCCTCGTCAGCTACTTGAGAACGTCTATTCAACTCTTCCAGTTTTGCAAGAGCCTTAGCCCGCTGTTCTCTTGCTCTTTCTTCCTCTTCTTTCTGCCTCTGTTGAGCACGCTGCCTGGCTAACTCTCTCATCGTATTACGCTTTGAAAGAACATGTCAAACACTCAGTAAAATCCAAAAAGGATAACAAACAACAACAAAAGTTGCAAGAATGACAATCACATGAACTAGTTTATACCTGATTGTCGTTTGGGTCTACAGATATTCCAGATACAGGCTTCCCAATGGAACCGGTATCCAAAGAGTCCCCTACATTTACCTCAGCAAAGCTTTCTGAGTTTGGAGCTAAAGTTGCAGGGGAGGAGCCTGACATAACAGTTGTCTTCGGCCAACCATCATTGCCTTCATTGTTCACTCTTTGTTTGGTCTGATAATCTGATCTGCTTTGAGGTTGTTGAGTGGATCTCCTGTAGGAACTAACATCAAAATTTTGCCAACATAAAGGATAGCATAACTGGCCAAAACGCCATTGAAAAATTATAACTGACCTGGATATAGAAGTTCCACTAATAGCTGCCGGCTCAGCGTTTCTGTTGGTGGCAGGATCACCATGTTTATAGTGTAATGAGTTCGTACTATCACTTGCATGACCAGTTCGAGGCATTCTTGCTGAAACTTTGTTTACAGAGTTCCCAGAATTGCCTGTACGTGTTTTGCTTTCCTGCTGATCTCTATGGACGACAGATGAAGCATTTTGCCAACCATCATTACTTCTAGTTTTTGAGTTTAAGCTCTCTATTTTCTGAATCAAACTGGGATCTTCAGGGGCAGCATTTTCTGCCTTAATTAGTTGTACCTCGTCATTGCTCCTGTTGTTTTTGGAAGTTTGCATCTGTTGAGCTACATTCTCTGCATTCGGGAGCCTATTTCCTAGAAATCCTTCCCGCTTTGCTTCATCTTCCCCACACCTACCATCTTGAGGCCTTAACAGAACCTTGTATTGTCTTTCTTGAGGATGTGATGACTCTTTCTGTTCCAAAGCCACTGAGCTTCCAGACGTATCATATCCACCTTGACCAGAGTGCTGGCTATAAGCATGAGGACCCGCAGGTCTACACGCAAAAGGCAGATCTCTGTTGCTGGGACTTCCGTACCCCATGGGAGGACCATAGTAGCCTTCATGTGGCACTGGACCAAGATAAAACCCAGGTCTAGTCTGCATCCTTGGGTGGACATAAGAGTCGAGCATTGGAGGCCTGAACATTTGTCCATTAGCAGGGTGATTACCCCTAGGACCAGCCTCATGGCCAGGAATAGGCGGAACTTGCGGGGGATAAAACGGAAAAGGATCTATAGGAAAACCCCCAGGACCCATTGGGGCACCATATGGGTGGTTCCCTCTGTACCAGCCACCACCTTGATGATTATTTACTGGAGGACCACGCCAACCATCATACTGATGAGGAACATTAGCATTAGGATAAGATTGTGGACAACGGGAGTCCAATTGCCCTTCCCCTCTAAAATGTCTAGGTGCATCTTCGCTGTATGGTTGATTATCTCTTCTCCAGGTATTGTCATCTCCAATCCGCACATTAGCTTCTGAATATAGGAGACAAGGTATAGTAAGAAACAGTACCCAAGAGAACCTCCACTAAAGAGATGAAGGGGAATAAAGGAGTAAGACGGATTCACATGAAGGCGTCTGAGGGTGACATGGCCCTAATAAACATAGGTAACTTTTCAATGAAATGCCAACATATAGAAAATAAGTTTGAACAATCCACACCTCGTTCTTCCACAGATCTTCCAGGCGAAGATGCAGGACGAGCGGCATCTGCAAAATCGTAATTTCTAAGAGCAATTTCTATGTATTCACTACATAAAATCATATCACATTATATCTAGGTGGCCCTAAAACCCTCCAGGGGCACATATTAGGAGGCTATCTAAGATCGTAAAAGTCAGCAAGCCAGAAAAGCCAGTCCTAGAATTTTGACTTTACTGAATAACTGTGTAGAAATATTTCTCAACAGAATCGCATTTATAACTACAAAGGGGAAAAATGAACCTGTATTTGCCTTCCTTTACATAGGGGCTGCTGACTGTATTTTTTAGAATGGAAATATTTTATACTGTATATAGATGATACCTTGTGGCATGCTCTTCTCAGAACTTTCTTTTTCAGCACCAAGGGAAGGAAAATCTCCAGAAGTCAAAGAAAACGCATCCTTTCTCGTTGGAGCAACTCCCTGTACATACGAACTTACTGTGCGTTTATTGCAGCTAATCAAAAGTGAAGTAAGAGAAAGAGTAACATGGCGCTCAACAGATGTAAGGATACAAAAAAAAAGATAACGCTGATGCAAAGCAAGTTCAGATAAATAATATACACTAATTTAGAGGGAAGAACCATACATGTTGACCCCATGTTTCAGAAGTCTCTGACACGGGTTCAGCAAAACGGGATAACTGGGAGCTTCCAGGTCTTGTGTCAGCACTATGTGGACGTTGTAGTCCAACTGATGCCTGATTTGATGGAAACACCCCGGATGCTGATGAGGGCCGGGAGTTCGAAGCAATAGAAGAAGAATCATGCGCTTTGTCACTATCAGCAGTGGAAGGTCGAGTAACACTTCCACCAGTAGAAGGGCGAGAACCAGGACCACTTTCAGTCCGTGGTGATGATGTCCCCCACGCATTCAGAGACGATTTACTGCCCCAACTAAGGGTTCCCCTACGATAAATAAGCAGAAGAAAATTGAACTATCTAACAACTGCGAAGAATAAGAATGAGAAATAGCATCTTAAACAGGTACACTTACTTTGGAACGATTTCCACATTCGGGTCAAGGCCTTGATTCTCTAACCTTGAATTCAGAAGAGAAGTGTTCAGGAACGAGAGTATATAAAGACTAAATATGATCATGAACTCATCAAATACCTTTGGCTTGGTAAGTTAATCGGCTTTGGAACAGCAACCTTTCCCAATATAGTCATGCCACTTCTTCTTGCAGTACCCCATCTGCTAATATATCCAGAAAATGTTTTTTGTTATCAAAGCAATGACACGAGAGAAGAAGGCAAGATCTTTAAAAGAAAGAAAGACAAACACAGAGTTGCCTTCTACACCCCAGGCACGTCTAGAGATTTTATTTGGAATATACAGCAAATTGTGAACAAGTGGTTCATATTAAGAAAATGCCACATCAAAGTGAAAACATGCAGGCATCACAAAGAGGCCAAAAGAACCTTGAAAATACTCTGTTTTTCTACCCAAAAAAAAAAACATAACTAAAAAGAAAAGAAACCTTCGATCTCCTGTCGTGCTAGAGGTCATAACTAAGAAGCTACAGGATCCAACCACCCCTTATGAAACCTGCAAGGCAAGTGCACAATTAGGCTCACAAATGAAATTTCAAGCTCAAATCCCAAATAATCAAAAAAACCATGCTAACTCTGAAAAAATGCAATTAATAGGATAAAGGAATCAAATTGACCAGTTAGCATCTCTATAAAGTGTAAATTATAAGGTACGAGAACCCAATTTATACAAGAAAGCAAACAAATTCAAGCAAAATTCATTACAAAAAAAAAAAAAAACCAATCAATTGCTAGAAACAGAGGATGTTCGAACAATCAAATTGTTAGAAAAACACGATTACGTGTTCCCATTAATCAACGACCTATCGAACATACAACAATGTCAATCAGAGTCTCTACGAAAGGAGCCAACTTTAGTGGATGATAATAATTCTATAAACCCGTCACTCATTGACATTCAATACGACACGAGATTGCAATCGAATATTAAAGCGATGAAGAAATAACTGACCAAAGGGAAATAATCCTTTGGGGGAGCTCTCCTCGGAAACCCTAGATATGGTGAGAATCTAACGGAAAGGGGGCAGATTCGGATGGTGTGTGATCGATGGAATCGAAGAAGGAAGATTGAAGGAGAAGACGAAAAGGATCTGTCGAGAAAACGAATTCTAATGGATTATGAAGCTCTGATTGATTGGTTCAAAGACGAGAAAGCGTCGATGTTCTGTTCTGTTCTGGGCTGCACGGTTTCCTCCCAGATTTTTTTTTATTTTTTTTATTTTTTATTTTGCTTTCTCTAGTAATATGTGACATTGATTTGCGTCTGTTAAAAGTTTTTAAAAATAATAATAAATTATTTACTAAAATCACCAAACAAAACTATAGTTTTTAGCTGATTATGTTTTTCATTGAATTTCAACTTGAAAAATACAATGTTTTGTGTTCGAAAATACAAAATTAATATTTAACTAGATATATATGTGTTATATATTGAAGACTGAAAATAAAAATGATATTTTCCAAAAATAAAAATGATATTTAAGTCGGCATCTAAATTAATTACATGTGAGAATTGAGAAGTGACGTAAACCTAGAAAGTAGTATTACATAACCCATTCATCAGTCTTGTAGTAAACAGAGATCCTGACTCAGTTCAGTGTCTCTCCCTCGATTTTCATCTACTGTCCTTTCCAAGGTCTACAACCAAAACATAGCTAATTAAAACACCTTCTTCTTCTTCTTCTCAATGGGAACAAAGAGCTCTATCTAAAAGCTTCTTCGCAGTGGGAAATTTTATTAGGTTTGTTCTACGACCTTTTTCTGATTCTATGTTTTGTAATTTTGACAGATACTTTTATGTGTTGTTGTCTTTTATGTTTTGGCAGATAGTTCTTCGGTTTTAGAATATGTCTGCCAAGATATAAAGCTTTTTTTGCCATTACCTTGTGAAGAAAGCTTGCAGCAACTTTATCTCTTGAGATTCTTCAAGGGTTGTTTTTTTTTATTTCTTTCACACTCATAACTTCAGATTTAGCAGCCAAAAAAAGGTTCAGTCTCGCTGGACAGCTTACAAAACCCACTAGTGTTCCTTCTCTTTTTTGCAGTCTTTATATAAAATATATATATAAAAAGAGGTCTTCTTTCCAGCTACAAAACCCACTCTCTGTTTCTTGGTTCTCTTCTTCGTTAAGAATTTGGTTTTTAGTTTGGAGAGAAAATGGGGAAGGTTCCGAGGATTCTGTCTTGGAGGAACATGTTGGTGCTTTCATTGGCTGTAAACGTCAGCTTAGTTCTAAGGATCTTGAAAGGTAGTGACGGTGGAAACTCCTCGTATGTTAGTATATGGCCTGTGGTATCCACCTCCTTGGATAGAACGGTGTATGATAACAAATGGCCTGTGGTATCCACCACAGCCTCAGGATCTTCTTCCTTGTCTTCAGCATCTTGCATCTATAACGAGACTCAAGAAGATGATGACAGAATTATCAATCTCAAACTGTAAGTTTCTATTGCTTTTATTTCTTGATTTCTCATAATTATATCACTTTTCACAATTAAGAAATATAGAAAGTTCTTGTATGCATCCATAATACTGAGACTTCTAAATAGTAATATCTCTTTCAACACTCTGAAGTGTTCTTATCTTCTAACTATGGTAGAAGTGTTGTTTATTCCTTCTTGGTATTGTCAGGTTAATAAATGTGGTATTAATGGCGTATCATATAGAATCTACAGACAAATTAAATTCTCCCTTATCCCATAGTACTTAATTGCTTTGAAAGTCCCTATAGCTATTTTAGCAACGAATCTGGGATTGTTCTGTTAAGCGCAAGTGAAGAAGCTCCACATAGTCACCATTTAATTTTAAATGCAAACTTCAAAAGAGGGCAACATTGCTGCTACTCTAAAGATTGTGTTGATCATCTTCATTGACTCGCATATATATTTTTCTAACCATCTATATATATTGCAAGTGACTGTGGATTATGTCCTAGTTCTGTGTATGGTTCTGTTCCTTAACGTGCGCCGCTAGTTTGAATATTTGGTTGTCATTTACTTTCTTATGACTCGTCAGTCGTCAAACCAATCCTGAAAAGTATGCAAAAAAATTAAAAAAACTTTGCATGTTGATTGATCTTGGTGGTCCATATGGGATTTTGTATGTATTGGTCATAAATATTAATGGGTCATTCTTATATGTTTTGGACGTAAAGAAGAGAGTGATTTTTATTTATTTATATGGATTTAGTATGTGGAATGTTGCGAGAGGAAGCAAGATAGTGAGTGATGTTCCTTTTTGGATGCTCGCAATTAGTTAGCGATAAACAACATGTTGAAACAATGGAAAATTTAATTTAACTGATTGAGACATACTCTTTTGAATTCTAGGCAAAAGAGAGAAAGAAAAAAAAGTAAATTAGCAGGGCCCTCATTTTGGTGGACATGATTCTGCATACATGCATAGAAAATTATATATATGTCTTTTAAGAGAATCTAAAGGACTACTTTAGTGATCTGCTTGACCATGTTCTTTGCTGTTTCAGAAACAACAACGTGTTGTTTTTATGCTCTCCGTTAAGAAAAAAAGGACCCACCAATTCTTTTACCTATATTCTCAGCTCTTTATTGACTCAAATATTCTTGTCGCATTAGAGCACCCACATTGGTGTATCCCCAAAGTGAATCCTTAAGTATATTAAATTATTTTTTTTGTTTTTGAATAGTTAAGGACCCTAATCCAATTTGTATGTCCATTGGTGTTTTCCATTCCGAAATCCTTAGGAATAAAATAATATTTAATTTTTGAAAATATAAGAATAAAATTTTATTTATAGAATGATTAAATATGAAAGTACAACAATGATTAAATATGAATAACACTGCTCTACTATATTCTGTGATTCTTTAATTATGTGATTGTGTGATTTGTATGTCATTATTTGCTTGGATAATGTGATTTGTATTAACGTATGTTGAAGTAAAAGAACGAGCAATAATTGGTAGGGAGATAATATCCAAGCAAAAGACAAAGAAAAAATCAATATAGTTTTGCCCAAATTCATGCCATGTCACCAAGGATCAACCTAAAAAAATCCTTAGCAAAGGATTGATCCTTGGTGTTTACCATTTTTTTATTAATATTTTAGCAAAAATTGCATAGGTATTAGTGCTAAGGATTGTTTAAATCCTCCAATGTGGGTGGTCTTATAAACTTAATTAAATGTACCGTGCATGATGCATTTGGTTATTATTATACGCAGTGGTGATCCAATGGTGTATGAGAGATACTGGCAACAAATGGGTCATATGACAACAATGGTGATACCTGGATGGCAATCTCTCAGCTATTTTTCAGATAACAACAACGAGCTTTGTTGGTTTCTTGAACCAGAGCTTGCCAAAGAGATTGTAAGGGTGCATAAAGTTGTTGGAAACGCTGTAACACAAGACCGTTATATTGTTGTTGGCACTGGCTCAACACAGTTGTATCAGGCTGCTCTTTATGCTCTCTCCCCACATGATGACTCTGGACCCATTAATGTTGTCTCAGCTTCGCCTTATTATTGTGTAAGTCAAATTTAGAGCTTTCTTTATTTCCTTAAGCGTGTAATTCACTCTGACGTGTGTGTGTAACTGGTTTGGTTGCAGTCATACCCGTTGATTACAGATTGTCTTAAATCTGGTTTGTATAGATGGGGAGGAGATGCAAAGGGATACAAGGAGGAAGGTCCATACATTGAACTTGTTACATCACCAAACAACCCTGATGGATTCTTGAGAGAATCAGTGGTGAACCGTAGTGAAGGTATACTTATCCATGATTTGGCGTACTATTGGCCGCAGTATACGCCTATAACATCGATAGCTGATCACGATGTAATGCTCTTCACTGCTTCAAAGAGCACTGGCCATGCAGGGATGCGCATTGGGTACATTCTTGTTACAACTTGCTTAAACAAAAAAGGAAGTGTATTGTGTATCTTAAAAGTTACATTTTCGCAGATGGGCTTTGGTGAAAGACAAAGAGACGGCTAGGAAAATGACAGAGTACATAGAACTCAACACGATTGGGGTTTCAAAAGTCTCCCAGCTTCGAGTAGCCAAGGTTTTGAAGGCAGTGTCAGACAGTTGTAGTAATGAAACGTTTAAATCCTTCTTTGAGCATAGTTATGATGCAATGTCTGAGAGGTGGAAGCTACTGAAACAAGCATCGAAGACTAGTAAAGGTTTCACACTTCCTGTTTTTGACTCTCAACGTTGCAGTTTCTTTGGCAAGGTCTTTGAACCACAACCAGGTACGTTAAAATGAAAAACAAATCAAATGATTAATATGAAAGTAGTTTATTTTTCTTAACAGCTGGTGTTGTTTTTTGTGCAGCTTTTGCATGGTTAAAGTGTGAAGAAGGGATTGTGGATTGTGAAAAGTTTCTGAGAGAGGAGAAGAATATTTTAACCAAAAGTGGAAAGTATTTTGGAGATGATCTGAGCTATGTGAGGTTAAGCATGTTGGATAGAGATTCTACCTTTAATATTCTCCTTCACAGGATTTCATCCTCTTTCAATTCATCAACTTTGTAAGTACATGTGCATGTGATGACGATATATGTGTCTAATATTGTAACAAGTGTTTGTTCCATATTATGGAAATTTGAATAATGCGATGATTGAGATTCAACCATCTCAAACGAATGAACGTGGAATCATTCACTACCGAGCGTTTGTGACGTATCATCATTGTTCAATTAACGTTCACCAAACATTAATGTAGTACTCGAGTGTCTAAGTTTGAATAGTAGCATGACCCAGTTCTTTGTTTTTTCACTATCAAATTATATTGCCTTCTAGTGTATGTTCTGTGAGGATGTTCTAAGTTTTTTTTTTTAACGTCTGCAGGATGTTCTAAGTTTAAAAATCTGAAAATCGATGTAAAATATTTCATCTGGCTATATCCATAAGAATTCTGATCGTGCTTTAACACCATTCACACTCACGAAAAGTTTATAAGAGAAAATAATAATTAAAATTCTAACGAAAAGTGGTAAGTACTTTGGAGATGATCTGAGCTATATGAGGGTAAAGCATGTTAGTTAGAGATTCAAACTAATATTTTCATTTACAGGATTTCACCTTCCTTCAATTCAACTTTTGTAAGTACACACGTGCATGTGATGACAATATATGTGTCTAACATTGTAACAAGTCTTTTCTCCATATACTTTTGGAAATTTGAATAATGCGACGATCGAGACCTTCAACCACCTTAGATGAATGAACATCATTCACTACGAGTGTTTGTGTGGTAACATCATTGTTCAGCCAACGTTCATCCAACATTAATGTAGTCGAATGTTTAAGTTTGAATAGTAGCATGACCCCGTTCTATGTTTTTCACTATTACAAATTATACTCCCTTGTACTACAAGGCTTGTAGTATATAGAATTTTATTAATTTAGCTGCAGGTCAAACCTTATAATCGCCACACCTTTAACTGAGCTAGTTTAATAAACTTGGCAGATTAAGGTCGATCAAGAAAAAGAAAGTCGACCAAGCACGATCAAGTTTCTTGCTCGTTTAAATAAATTGTATCCAAGCATCAAAGAAAACTCATCATGGGGATGCTTCTACCTACTATTGCAAAGATGTAAAGTATATATTCTTGATCAAGACCCAGATGATAGTAACAAATAAAAAAGGTTAACCCTACTATATTGTTATAACTGCGTTCAAGTTAGTAACTATACAAGCTATTCTGGTTACTGAATGACGCTCATAAAATTATGTGTATTATGGTTAGTAGATGTTACTCAATTTAACTATAGAAAAGGAAACATACATGCCCTCACTGCTATACAAAAGTCTAATGGATAAAAAAGTTTCATGACAGATACAGTCAATAGAATAGAACTGTCTTGTTCCGCTTGAACACCATTAATTAACACATGAAAATTGAATATATAAAATATGATAACATTTTCGATCTATCTAACTCTTTTTTTATAGTAGAGATAATTTGTGTCAATGTGTTTCTCTGTAATGTAAATGCTATATTTCTCTATTTATCTTTCTCTATGCATTAGAGAAAAACTCAGATGTACTTTAAAGTTTCCCTAAAATAGAAAATTAGAGTTAACGGTCGAACAAATGCAGTAACCAAAATAAACATGTAAAAACTTACTCCAGTTACAGAAAAGAAAAAAAAACATGTAAAAACTTCTAGAAACAAAATTAAATATTATAGTGAATATACAATTAGAAAATATATATGGATGAGGAGAAGGGGAGACAGAACCACACAAAGATTCACGTGATGTTTCTGCAAAATTCATCATCAACTTTCTCCTGACTATGCCACATCACATCTTTTTGTGGGAACTATTCCGTCGTCAAACCCGGCCGTTGCGTAATTTGTTTTTTTCCACAATCAGATCTTCCCTTCTCTATCAACTTGATCGTCTACATAATAACCTTCTTTGTCTTTTTCATTCTTTAACAAATGAGTCCTTGTTTTGAGAAAATTCTAATTATTATTTTGATACCAAATTGATCTGAATATGAGGTTGAGTTTCTATTATTGAATCTTGAGCAATTTTGTATTTGCTTCCAACCCTGCTCATCCTTAATTAGTCAACTAATCACATAACGAAACGGTTAGATGTTACTGGTTATGATGCATACTTAATCTTTAACATCATCGAATAATTTTGGAATGTTGAATAACTTTGTACATCAAGAAAAAAACTTATCAAAATAGATAAAACATGACCTGGAGCTATCCAAAACGATATTCAGACTGCACATGCTACTGGACACCAGTTTAAGAATACCCGACGAATAGGATGTACACACATGGACATAACACGGTCATTTCTGCTAGGGAAAATAATTGATAAACTTTCTTGAAAAAAAAAAAAAAACTAATTGTTATAGATGCATACGGGTAATGTAACTTTGCGTCTTTAGCTATGTAGAAACTAGAACCATAAGGTAATCAACTAAACATACTATAAACAATAATACGAAAACAAATATATCTTGTTTTATGTTTTCTTGTTTGTTTATAGGGAAACTTGTTATAATGAACACACACAAAAATTAAGGACAGACCAATCATCTTGACACGTTATCTCTACGTCTCATGCTCTAGCCATTTTGCTGTGATCGGTAAGTTTCCAAAGACACTTTTGCCACAACACCACAGTTCTAGACATTGATCATCTTTCGCATTAGAGTCCCCAGATTCACACGTACCGTGAACAAAACCCTAAGCGCCCTTCAGTAATCACTAATCAATCTCAAACCACCACTTAGTTATATAGTTAAATCTTAGAACAAAACAAACTTTTGTTTATTTATTATCATATAAAGTGTACTTCCATTAAACCCTGGAAACGTTGTGTTTTTATTATATTATTATTTCTTGATGGAACTATATTTATATATACATGACAAATATACTAAAACAAAATAATTTTTTTAAAGTTGAGGCTCATTTTTACCAAGCGGCAGGCTTGTGAATTGTTGACCACACTCTTATCATCTCTCTCTTTCTTATCTTCATAGTTTCATCTTTTCACTTAGATTATTTATATTTATATATACATTTTGTAAATAACTCTATATGTATTATCATTATCTGTACTCTTAACCCTCATGAATTATTGCTCTCCGGAATAGTTTTCAAGTTACAATTTAACTCTGTACATATGTCTCTTGTGACGTTCAAGGATTAAAAAAATAAAGAGAGAGAGAGAAGAAAAATGAACTTTGAGGAGCAAGAAGAAGAAATGGAGGTGTCAGGTGTTAACCCCGCCGGAGGCTACGACTCTCTGAGCGGCGAGGGAGCAACCTCAAGCGGAGGAGGAAGTAGAAAAAGCGTTGGAGGGTCAAAGATAAGGTACAGAGAGTGCTTAAAGAATCATGCCGTTAACATAGGCGGCCACGCCGTGGACGGCTGCTGCGAGTTCATGCCTTCAGGTGAAGATGGTTCACTCGACGCTCTCAAGTGTGCTGCTTGTGGCTGCCACCGCAACTTCCACCGCAAGGAAACAGAAGTCATGAGCGGCAGACCCCACAGGGTTCCAACGTACTACAACCGTCCTCCTCAGCTGCCGCCACCAGGATACCTTCATCTGACATCTCCAGCGGCTGCAGGGCAGCCTTACAGGCCTCCTGCGGCCTCGGGGGACGAGGAGGATACGTCAAATCCGAGCAGCAGCGGGGGGACCAGGGCTAAGAGGTTTAGGACGAAGTTCACGGCGGAGCAGAAGGAGAAGATGTTGGGCTTTGCGGAGAGGCTGGGGTGGAGGATTCAGAAGCATGATGACGCGGCGGTTGAGCAGTTCTGTGCGGAGACTGGTGTTAGGAGACAAGTGCTTAAGATTTGGATGCATAACAACAAGAACTCTCTTGGTAAGAAACCCTAAATTTTATTATATGATTTAAGTACAAGAGATCATCATCATTGCTTCTTCTTTTTTTGTTGTTGTTGGTAATGACTCTTTTGTAAGTACTTGTACTTGCGGACATGATTTCTTCTTTTAGTTAATTAATTAATCTACTATTTTGGGAGTGTTTAGGATGCGCTGTGATATATCCAACTTTTGTTCAAATGGTTAAAATTAATAGAAGTTACTTATGACAGAGCCGGTCCTAAGATTTTTGGAGATCTTAAGCGATTTTTAAAAATTTCAGCTAAAATTTGTTTCAAACTAGTTTGCGGGTTAAAATTTTTTTTTTTTGGAAACTTATGTATATATTAAGTTTTTCGAAATTTCCGGGGACTTCAAGAGAATGTTTCAATGGATTTTACCCAGAATTGGCCCTGGTTGTAGACCAAGTATTTTCACCCTCTAGTGTCTTTAGATTCTTAAGCTGTTTGGAGTCTTTGTAAACCAAACCAACTTTGGTAATCTCTGTCAATATATAAGCTTTTTTCACTTTATTAGTACTGTAGGAATATCAGAACATAGGCACAAGTTCAATCTGCATTGCCATGTTCCCATGTCAATTAGAAGATTCGAGCTAGCAGTGCTACGTCTTAAGTAACATATCTACTTCTTCTTTGCCCCTAAGAAGAGCTCATTTTAAATTTTCCTGATTTAGGTAAAAGAGATTATAAAAAGAAATCTAAAATGAATACACAATTTAGCTATATAAATCGAAATTGATCCCAAAAGGAATATGCTAATAAATAAACCACTGATTTTGGATGGACATGATGGAATCCATCTTGATGCAGAAAATGAAGAGAGAGAGAGAGAGAGAGAGAGAGAGAGAGAGAGAGAGAGAGAGAGAGAGGCATGAATTCACATTTGTCACCTTCGCATCGCTATCTTACCAAAACTCACCGCTTATCACATTAACTCGTCTTCTCTCTTTTTCCTTTTATGCTCACTTTTTTCTGTTGAGCTTTGCTTCGAAACCTCTCACTCTTTTGTCTCTTTCATATCACGACACAAGCCCCATTAATAGTCCTCATTTAATCGCTGTAACGGTTTGATGTAAACATATCAAATTAATCTTCGGTTTTGGGGTTCTTGTTCTCCATAATATTTTAGAGATTTAATTAAAAAAATTAAAAGGAATTTTTTTAAAAAACTAGATGAGCACCTTATCTAGAAGACTAGAACCCACAATTTTATCAATGATCATAAAGTATTATTTTGTATATATTTTAGTTTATATTTTAGATTGTCAATTAATGTATGCGGTGAGCTCAGTAAGTTTGAGCTCAGTAATTATGTAGGCATGATTGATCGCATCAGTTTGGTAATACGAATTGAATTCCTGCATCGGATCTTGCATCATTTTTAAGTGCTAAAAGTTAATATGCGTTAACATGAATGTCCAACAAGGTAGTGGGCGGGTTAGATTATTTCAATGTTTAGATGTCGAGACATTTGAGAATTTGAACATTCTAAAAATAATATATCTTCTAAAACGTGTTTTGCATTTTTATTTATCGAATGAGAAAACATAAACAAACATAAGTCACTTAGAGTTTCATAATATTTACAAAGTTTAAGCCGTACTTTCACTCGCAAGTCGCAATTATAGAACTCAGACTCTACGTTCGTGCGGTAAACCATGCAATTGAAACATAGATTCTGCGGTCGAACCTCAAAATCTACATAAAATATCGCAGAATTGCCTTAATTTATTTCGAGAAATTAAGAAACAAAAACCCTAAACAATCGGATATATTTGCCTTAATTAATTTAGATTTTCTTTTATATTTACATTAAATTATCTCATTCTTTTTTATCTGGAATAACAATAACCCTTCTTCTCGTATTAAACCATTTTAGGTTTTGCAACAATTGATACAAATCAATTTGAATTTAGTTTTGTAGAAAAGATCATACAGCAAACTTTTATATATATGCCAAAAACTGACAACATTAGTCTGCAAATATTTCAAAAACTTAAATTACTAGTTTTATCACAACACAGTTTGTGTGTGTGTGTGTGTTTTACATATATGTATATTCATTTATTTAGATATTTTCATTTTGTATTTTGAACACAAAAAAACGAAACCCGACCGGTTTTAAAATCAGACGCGACGGTGGATGTTCTCGTCATCATCGTCCACAGCATCGGCGGCACTACCTGCGAGATCAATAAGTTTCTCCATCTCCACGGTCATTCCCTTGAGAGTGGTTGAAGCCTGGTCACTTTTGCTCGCAACTAATCCCTCCACGCGCTTCATCTGGTCGGTAGAAGCCCTAACGTCGTAGTGAGCAGTGTCAGGGGATTGCTTCAGCTTAATGTTTGCGCTCTTGAGATCAGCCACCACCGCTAAGTAGGCCTTGTGGTAATCCGCAAAAGCTGGATCACTCTTAGCCGTCTCAGCCACGAAAGCCGCTGTCTTCTCGGCGTGGGCTATGGTGAGTGCCATCACGGCCTCGGCCAGTGGGTTCTAGAGATAATTAAAAGAGTTTTTATTAGTATAGATAATATCATTATAATGATCATTCTCATTTACATCTTGATAAGTAAAATTTAAACAAAAAAGAATGTAATTCTCAAATCTCATTTAAGGTATTTGACACATTTTTCAAAAATAGCTAACCGATAATTAGACATCTTGCAGAGGATTAATTTTCTAAAAGTTCATTATAAATACTCCCTCCGTTTAATTTTATTTGTCATTCTAGATTTTTTCATACAGATAAGAAAATATTTAATTTTACATATTTTCAAGATAAAAACACAATTACCTATACAATTACCTATACACGTAACCACTTTTCAACCAATAAAAAAAAAGAATATTATATAAAACTAATAAATTTTGTCTCTAAACTTTAAAACGACACTTAATTTGTGACAAAAAAATAAGCGTAGAATAACATATATTTTGAAACGGGGAGTATTTGTTTTTTTTGTTTATAACAGATTTGCCGTATAGTGCAGCGCCTATAACAATCTTTAGAATATTGTTTTCACATGTAAGTATTTGCAGAAATTGACATTTTAAACAATAAGAACATGTCATGCCTTTACTACTAGACAATAGTAAATATGTTATTTGGTTTTTAATGTGATGCAAGAAAACGGTAATAAAAAGAGAGACATGGGTTAAAAGATGAGTACCAAGCCAATGGGAGCAGCAGTGGGAGGGTTAGTGGTCAATGTCTTAACGCAGTAATCTAGGTCGTGGGAGCGATCACAGATGGCGTCAATGTATTTCATGTGAGGAGAGGCTGTAGCTGGAACAAGGAGTAGTTGCAACATAATTGCCGCCGCTGCGAAGGTGGACATAACGGAGAAGGTTGCCATTTTTTTTGTTTTTTGCGTCGGAAGTTTTGTTTATTCTTCTCCTTTCCCGGTTGTTATTCAGTTTTATATATGTTGATTTGCTTTGAGTTTGAGGGTGGGTATATATATTAGTAAACCTAGGGCTTGGTCAGGGATATTTGATATCTTTAGAAGCTACTATATTAAGATCTGATGTAAAATACGTAACGTTTTTACTAAAAATTTTGCTTAAATTTGCTAAATTTGGAGAACCTACGTTAATAGTTCGTGGTTTTTAGTCAACGAAAAGAAAAGTCCATGATCTTCTTTCTTTGTTTAGAAAAATTGTGCTATGTCGTGACAAGTGTTGAGGCTCTTGATGATCATAGAAAAGTATTGATCTGATCCAAAATGTTTAGCTAAAACATTAACACATTTCACTGAAATTTTATTTGACATACGTTATACTATACATAAAATAGAAAAACAAAGGCTATTTTACACAGTTTTGTATTTGTATTTTTTTTTTTGTTAACACATTAAGCAATTGGTAGAACTGGATTTTGGGTGAGCTAAACACAGCATGATAATTTTAAGGTAGAGAGTTATGCTAGATATCATCAAAGCAAACTTAATAACATAAGAAAACTTCCACATAAATATCAACAAAACAACACAATACACATTTAAGGAAACGAAAGGAAGATAGTAAAGGGAATAATATACTCAAAGATTACATGAACTGATTGGTAAATCCCCAAAACCAAATCAGATCTTCCCACTTGTGTCCTAAAAGAGACCACCCAATTGTTTGGAACAATTAAAAACAAAAGCAATCATCATCTATTCATCTTCCTCCCTTTGCAGTAGCGTTAGCTTTTAACTCTCCCGGACTTTAGAATTAGCTACATCTGCTGTTATATCCCAGCTCCCACTTCTTCTTCCCCAGCTCCCATGCCTTGTCTCCGTCCTTATCGTGGCTGCTCTTTCAGCAACCCCAAGAGCCGCTTGGTCAATGTCCAAAGTCTGATGAGGTTGGTCGTTGCCGCCCTCTGCTGGATTACACCTCTGTGATAGGTTCATAAGATCGTCCCCAATGTCTAGATCATCTTCCACTTTCTGTCTCCGGCTCCCAATTTCATCCTCTACTTCGGCTGATTCCTTGGTGGTGTTGGTGGTTGGTAGAGTAATAACTCTTGGAAGTTCTTCTTCGACGAAGGCTCTAAAGTTGTTCCTTGAGGGCTTAACCTTCGTGCAAAATACCTCCATGAAATTGTTTACACATCCACGGTTATAGGCGACGGTTCTGTTGTTTGGTCTGTACCGGAAATTCTCATAGGTTGTCTGCAAAACTTGCACAGCATTGCTATCAGTTGACTCACAGTTTGCATATGATAACAGTGTGGACTAATACCAGAAGATGGAACCAATAATTGCAAGTGAAACTGACCTGGTTTGTACTAATGAGGTAAGAGTGAAACCCTGTGAGCCCTCCAACGAACCACAGGGCAATAAAGCAATATACCATCAGCGCAACTGACCACGGTGATTCTCTCATTGCCATCCATACGGTTCCGTGTTGGTGATCCATTATAATCTTGATGTATAAGGCCGAGATGGCGAACACATAGATGCAGAGAAGAGTTGCCGAAGCAACAAACATAAAGAAATACCTATAGTTCCTCTGCCAAAGGATAAGATTTTTCAAAGTCAGAGTCTCTACTCACGAAAAGATCATGTTTTTCAAACTCAATATGGTTTTAAACGAGCTTACCAGTCCAATGCATTGGCCAACCCAGGGGCAATGATGATCAAAACGCTCGACACAGTTGTTGCAAATGGAACAATGAGAGCAACGAGGAGGCCTGTAAAGCATGCATGTATCGCAGTATTTCACTCTAACGGTGATGCCATTAACCATAACTTCTTTGGTCCTAGGAATTTGAACACTAGGTGTTTCTCTTCCATCTGCTGATACTGTTGTCTCATAGCGTAGATCTTCCTCTGGTGGATGCGAATTTCGAGGAACAATACCAGGATCTCTCGCAGATGTGAAAGATAAGAGGATCAATACCTATCAAAACCAAACCACATGATTCAGCAAAACCAAAACAAAACAAATTGAATGCCACACAACAAGTGGACAAACAGGAAGACATGTTTAAGCTTCAAAGCCAGAGGTAGGAAACAACTTAAGCTACATGACCGTCATGTAAAGTCAAGTCATTTTTTTCAAATTAAACAGTTTTAACAAATCAATCGAACTCTGATACTTTTATAAAAAAACATAACATTACAACGCCCCACAAAACAGCTCACAAATGCTGATGATTGCCCGATTAAACAGCAAGCAAACAAAGAAACAAAGACATCAAATGATAACAAAGTATCAAATGGGCACTAGAGAATACTTACATAGATAGTGAAGAGAATGGCAACCACCAAGATAGCATAACCAGCATTGTAAGAAGAGAACTCATGGCGAAGATGCCTAGCTACAAAAACACAGAACAAAACAACTGGAACTAGGATAAGTAGAACAGTAGCAGGCACTGATCTAGCATCTGGACCAAATATCAATCTCCCACCAAGTATAAACTTCTGCAACAAACAAAAAACCAAATCAAAATCATACACAACTGTGATAAATTGCAGTTCCAACAACCACTAATTCTCCAATGTATAGGGCAAAAAAAAAAACTAAACGATACTCAAAAAAAAGATTAGACTTTACATCATTTGTGTACACGTAGCAAAGTCACTTGCGTAACTACGAAACTTAGCTAAAATAAAAGAATTGATTTTCGAGAAAAAAAAACACTAAAAATCGTTTGATGATTTTTTTAAAAAAGAGGCTTACATTGCTTCCTTTCCAGGCTTGGTAGACGCGTTGTGTCATTTGATAGAAGACGAATTTTGAAGATAATCGTTAACTCTCTTTTATCTCATTTGATAAAAAAAAGTTTCGCCCCAAACCTTCCGGCGATTTCTCCGCCAGAAGAAATCGATTTCGGAAAACCTAAGACAACAGTACCCAGAGATCGCTTGCGGAAAAGGATTTTTGAATTACAGAATAGTACTATCTCTGGTCTGCGTCTCTTCCGATGATATTTTTTTCTTTTCTTTTAGGTTGTCTCTCTCTCTTTTCGATTTCCTTTCCCCTTTTTTTTGTTTATATGAATGACGTCAGCATGTTTAACTTCTTTAAACCACGATTAGTATCCCTCTTCCCCTTCCCTCGTTTTTCCTGCGCATTTTCATGTCAGGTCCATTCCTCGTGGTGCTAATGCTATACTATACTAGTGCTGTAAATGGTAACACTAAATATAATCCGTGTGGATAATATTGGATGGGATAAGATGAACCTAATTGGGTAAAAATGGAATATATTTGTTCCAATCATTCAATGTATTCCAACACAAAATTGTAAGGAAATTTATAAATAATTATGAAATAAATCATTCTCATCATTCTACTCAGTAACAAATCCAATTGCAGCCTATTATCTATTCTATTAAAACAAAAATATAAAATAGAACTAACCTTATTTTCAACAAATTTATTACATTTTTCTTTCTTTATTTTCACTAATCTTAACTGTTTTATTATATCTTTTACATTTTTTATTTAAACTTTTTTAAACTACTTCATTAATTTTATTTACCATGATTCGTCGTCATTTATTTTATGTGTTAACTATAACATTTCCACATATTTGAATGAAATTTTTTTATTAGTACAAAAATTAAAACCGCTTACAAATAATTATTTATTGTTACATAATCAGTTATACATGAAATTTGGGTATACATTCGAATACACATCGATTTTTTGGGTATCATTTTTTTTGGTTTTAAAACTAAACTTTGTTCGAATATTATAAATGTTCTGACATGATTCAAACCGGATTCTTCCGGGTCTAGATAGGTTTATAAAAAATTAAAAATATATGAACAGCCTAATTTAAATGCGTAAAAAAGTTATTAAATAATTTATAAAAAATAAAAATTAATCTTTAATCTCGCGCGGGCGAGCGAATCAAACTCTAGTTGTACTTCTTAAGACAAATCATGAAATACTAAATACATTATTTATTTGCGAATATGACACTGTTTTCCTATTTTTTTGTGAGAAAGTATTGTTTTCATACTTAAAAGGACAATATGAAAATACTAATATTAGATGTACAGCTCATTCACACTTGAATATAAAGAATTAGGTTTCGATACTCTTATGGTACCAGTGACCAACTTTCTTCGGTCATTTTATTTCTTCTATCTTTCACCTTGTTAGTGTAACGTGTTAAACAAACTTAACTATCATTGATACTCCATTGATCATTGTTGGTAAATCAGAATACACCTTTAAAGTTTTACACTATTTTTTTGTCAAAATTTTAAGTTCTTACACTCTTAATACACTATTATGTGTGTGTGGCTCCAGTTGAATCATTTTGGCTTCGTTTCCACCTTGGACTCTATTAGCATAGAAGAAATAAAATGACCGAAGAAAGTTGGTCACTGGTACCATAAGAGTATCAACAAAAGTCTTTTTTCTCTAGGCTTAATCGTAATACCACCCATAACACTTAGTCTTTCAGGAGACATCGGAGTGAATGTTTATAATAAAAGGTTTGTAGCTACCGTTAGGTTGAACGTCCAAAACAAGGTTATTGAAAAATTATAGTGCTATCTTATTACTCTATATGTTGCATAATGTATGATGTTATGTTTAAACACACAAAAATTAAGAAAATTACTTCTTCAAAAACATAATTAAAAATATAAATTAAAATAGCTCAACTAATCATTAAAAAGTAAATATTTTCAATAAAATTAATTTTAAATAGAAATATTAAAACATCTTACATTTTTCAAACAGTTAAAACCTTTTAATATATCATATTATTATGAATTGGATTAAGTATTCTTACCATTTATTAATAATTAGTGAATGAAGTTGCTATTAGGCAGCTAAATTAGTACTAAGGGAGTGTTAGTGGGAATTGAATTCATAAGGATTCTTAGAATTTTCAAGTCTTG